AATGATAAGAATTGCTGAACAGTATCAAATTTAGGGTTATCTTGCCCACAGCAAAAGCAATTTTTATGATGAGTAAATTTTATAAGCACCATCTTGAAAAGAATAAAACTAAGAAGAAAGATGCATTCTTGGTCTAAGATGTTTTATTAAGAATATCATAACTTGTGTCTGTCTAGCCTACCAGACTTTCGCAATGTGACTTTATTTCTTTAACTTTATACTCACCACAATAAAACTACTATACAGTACTGTATGATGCGATTTTAGACTCTGAAATCAAACCAAATATTTATGTATATTCAGAAAATTTATCTTCGCTTTTATAAAACCAAACAGTGAAAATTGGATTACGTTTCAAACAAATGATCGCTGGCTACTAGTATTGGTCTGTGTATAATAAAGAATAAATGACCTGTTTTGTCCATAGGGAGAAATGCGAGGAGGGTAAATGGTTAATGTCAACATGCCAACCTCTCTTTCCCCATCCACATCTCACGTTTCATCTCATTAACAACAAAAACTGGCCGACATGAAATCTATTTAAAGATCAAACAGGCAATTTGTAATGCAAATTAAGATTTGATCCCCTCATTTTAAGGTTCCCCGATTTGAATTCATCAAAAATTTTAGGTCAACACTTGAAGTGACTGGCATATTTTTGCGTTGACCTTGTTGCATTGAAACTGTGAATAAAAGGAGCCAAGAGAGAAGGACATATGCCGGGCATATATTTGCAAACAATTCAGAAATATTTACAACTTTAATGTTACAAATGAGTTTTCTTAAATAGCATCTCTCGCAGTTAAACCAGTGTCAAATACTTTGAATTTTTCACTTGATACTTCAACTGTAACTCAACACAAATAGAATAGGATAAACTTTGTAATATAAACTAAATTTGACATGTCAAATAAAGAACAACATTTCATACAATACCTGTTATTTATATGCACAAATCTAAAGACACGCGCTTTATACAATGCCAACTTGAGATGTAATTATAATATTTTACGAAACTTTTCCTTGACATATAAATAAATACAATTATTTTGTATATAATACTCGCGTTACAGACTTTGCAATATGATTCGAAATTTACATACCAGTGCAAACCATTGACGTACAATAAATAAATCAAAATTTCATTTAAGACGATAAATTATCACAAAACCAACACTTACGAAAATATTTCGCCCGTAAAAGTCCTTAATTTATAGACATCTATTTCGGAATTTATAATGAGATTTTTTCTCCTTTAATATTGTCATTTTCGTCTATCAAATATCCCACATAATCATTTCGCATATTTATGAATGAGCATACCTTTGTTAATGATTGAAATATTAGGTCAATAACGTAAGATAACAAGTCCTGTAGTAATCAACTTTTGAAGGGTTTATTTGGTGTATTCTCTTTGAAGAATTTAACCCATATTTGTCCAGGCTTAAGCATAGGGCAAGGATAGCATTAATACACCTGGCGTCAATCAGGTCTTGAGAAGGATAAAACTTGAGATTGTTTCAAGAAGCGATGATTTCATATGAAGTAATATACCATTATAAATAAGCTTAAATATAATGGGTGTCTTGTGTTCAACCTAAAATGAATATACTAGGTTTATTCTGATATTGTCAACCTATTCCCTTCTATAATTGACATAATGCATTAAAACAATGTCCAACTGTCCATTGTTTATTAAATTTTGAGAATTCCGTATAAAATTATAACTACGACTGTACAGTACACAATCTAAACTTAATGAAGCCCTATAGAATGTTCAAATACTGTGAAATCAAAGATGTCCCCTGAACGTATCATAACATTAGGATATTCAGGAATGAAGGCTGAAATCATTGATTTTATGCAAGTAAAACAATCACATGTATTCATCACACATAGTCCTGCCATATTTTAGGGGCCTCCGTGGCCAAGTGGTTAAGGTCGTTGACTTGAGATCACAGGTCCCTCACCGCTGTAGGTTCGATCCTCACTCGGGTCGAAATCTTTCATGTGAGGAAGCCATCCAGCTGGCTTACGGAAGGTCGGTGGTTCTACCCAGGTGCCCGCTCGTGCCTGAAATAATGCCCGAAGGGGCACTTGGGGTTTTCCTCCACCAATAAAGCTGGAAAAAAATCGACGAAAAAATCTCGGCGGGACGCTCTGAGATGGCCCGACTTGAGTGTACGGTCGCCCATATGGGCTTTCCGGCGGCGACCTTAAATAAACGCATTAAAAAAAAAAAAATGCCATTTTTTCATCATTTTGAAGGTAATTTTACATGCCATGTCAATGCAAGTGGTATAAAATATAAAAAGTGTTTTTGCCCTTCATTTTGAACAGAGGGTACTCACCTATTTCAAGAGGTTTGCATTAAATCACATTTAATAGGGCAAAATATGTTATAAACTGTGAGGTCTGTGTGAAATATTGTTCTGTTTCACATACATAAATGTCAAAAACACCACAGGGGTAGCAATTTGCGTGTATAATAGTGTCACATAATGATAACCCATATCCCTTAACTTTCAGTATATACTTGTATTAAAAACTGATCTTATTTCTATTTTTTTACAAAAAAAAAAAAAAAACAGATGAAAAAAGACTTCATCAAAAAAATCTTAAAAGAAATTTAAGTACATTATATTCAATCTTTTCAAACAAGTTTAAGCTATTGTATCAAAACAGAAAATTTATCAGTAAATGACTGAAATAACTTCACACACAGTTCATTAAATCCACAGGGCCATCGGCAAAAAGTGACATCTCTACCATATCTCATTCACACTTTGAACATATTTGAAATCATTCAGTAAAAAAATTGACCTTTATCATCTTAAATTTGTGTTATGTACTTTCTGGACTGCAGTGGCTTTAACACTCTGGTGACAATCATTGCAACTGTTAGGCAAAGCCATTATTATGACCAATAAATTTCTAACAACTGCAGTGTAACTTCATTAACTTAATAAAAAATATGAACTCGTATCTACATCCATCAGTGTGTCCTTGCTAGGAAAAGTTACAGAAAAAATCTTTTCAAGCATTTCAAGAAGAACAAACATGCTCCCCTTCCGTCCAGTCCCCACCCAATACCCCACTCCCTGCACCCCCCGAATCCCAACAATAACAAATATTCTTTTCTTTTTTATAAAAATTGAAATTTATAATTGTTCTAAGATCATTTTGCTTTGGTAAAATTATATTGCAATAAACTTCCAAAATATTTTGCCATACCAAAAAAAAACAACTAAATTTTAACAACATTCATAATTGTTTAAATGGGAGAGAGAAAAAAAAGTTTTCATATATGATATATATAAAAAAAACAACCAACATTAACAATACCCATCAAAGTGTATACCGTCATTACACAAAAATGCAGCCTTATCTCATGCCTATTTCCTCTGAATAATTTATTATTTAAGTGATATCTTATTTAAATTAGGACCTCGATTTAGACAGCCGGTAACAAACAACCACTATGAATCATCTCCCCTATCACCTGAACCATTTCAAAGCTTCCTAAACAAACTGGTAATTAAAATCTCACTTATTCTTCCTTTCTAGTATCTGATTCATGTCTCCGGTCAAACTGTATCGTTTCTGTAACAAAATGATTGTAACAAAAAAAAGCAGTGTTTGAAATTTCACTGAAGTCTTCACTTCACAAACATTTTATTATTTAAATCAAATTTTTTGCTTGGGTTATGAAGACAATGTCATTGTGGCTTAACTTTCAGCAATACTAGTGGTGTAAAATCTCCGCCTCCCCATGTATTATTTTAATCAGTCAAAACCTAACCAACCTTTCCTCATTTGTCAGTGTCAGAATTCAATATTTCTCGTAAGCCTCGATCAACATCACAGCTGAACCTCAGAGGCAGTCACCTTAAACCTTTATCCAGAGGCCCCTATACCTGAATCATATTTTAGAATTTAAATTACATGTACATCAATTAAGGTAACAAAAACAATGCTCAATGCTTCTTATTGCAAAACACAGAGTGTATACATGTATTTTCTAGATAAAATGACACCAAGGACACATCACTTTTTTTATACACTGATAAACAACAGTTCAAAGTTCAGTTGTGCATGAAAAAAATTTCATAAGTACGTGCAACTTAATATATATGCGGTAGAAGGTTTGATAGAACCCAAACTATATATGCGGTAGAAGGTTTGATAGAACCCAAACTAATAGAGAAAAGTATCAAACTGCACTGACGTTTACGTATTTTCTTCTTATTTTATTTATAAAATTAATAAACTTAAAGCCATTCTATTTCCTTTCATATAATTTTAATACCTGAATGAAAATTACGCATCCGTCTGTCATGATATAGCAAATTTACTCCAGACAGATGTTTTTTGTTTCTAAGTTCAAGATATTTAGTCACTTTTAATATCATTTAAATTGCAATGCTTTGGAAAAAAAATGCATTCGCAAGAAAATCGTCTATCCTGCTTGTTTGTGAATTCATGCATTTTACAATTAAAAAAATTTCTTACGCCCACGATTTTCGGCTTCAAGCTGAGCTGCTTTTCTTATTATAACTAGCATAATCATCAAAGCTTGACATAAAAGCTGCAAGATTGATATGCAATGAAAATGCACGTTAAGCTTCTTAGCAAATCTACATGTACTACTTATATAATATATAAAACAATATGTGCCTTACCTACAAATATATGTACACATGTACTTCTTACATTATCCATAGTATCACAATGCTTTGCGAAATAATGTTACAATAAATAAAAGTTTATGACCATCTGCTGCGGAAATTTTTAGTTTGTTTTTACTTTCATTCACTAATATAAAAACACAATATAAATCAATAGAAGTAAAATTGTAATACATGTGACCATCAGACAATAGGAAACGAGACGCACTTTCACACACAATTGAAGCCGTTTTTCCGAGACATTAACTTTTATCTGTTTAAACATTTCATAAAGTTATTCTCTCAATAAAAAAAACGTAACAATATACATACCAGTGGAGGTTTTAATATTTGTGTGGTATCCTCAGTCGTTATGCTTTCCTACATGTAATTAGTCCTATAAGTAGAAAAATAATAAGTTAAGTAACCTGGAAAATAAAGCCCTTACAATGTGCATTTACCATTTCTATAAATAACATTCCGAGTAATTTCATAATAATATATTAAATATATATATATATATCAAAATCAATATTCATTGATAAATGTCAAACAAATCAGATATCCACATACTATTAAGGACTCTGTTTAAAACAAATAACAGAAAAGTTGAGTCCAATGTTAGTAGAAGAAAAATATTCCCCTTGCCACAATTTACAAATGATTTTCTGCAGACTATCATGGCTATATCACTCCACATGTTATTAAAGAAATCCATGAAGAATTAGTCATCACGATCTTCAAAATTCCTTATTCGACTCGCTAATTTGAGCTGCAAGTGTCAATTTCATCAGACAAACGGCAGAGATTTGTATTGTTCCGTGGCTTTGTGAAATAAGACTGGTCCTAATTTTCCGTAAAATTTCTTAAATCTTAGACCGCTTTAATGAGCAGATGGTGGCCATGAAGTGCCTTTGTTCGATCACTGTTCATAAAAGGGCAGAAAAACTGTCACGATTTTTTTATTAACATTTGTATTAATTTGTATTAAGTCATCGGATGGGTACAGTTGTTAGAAAGACAGCTGCCTATTGATTTCGGATATTATTCATATATTGTTGTTATGTATTCGAGGTATTAAACTAATCGAGAAAATGGAAATTATTCACAGTGGCCATGTCACACGTGTCACAAACAGAGGCGGGGATAGCATCTACATCATTAGCGATAACCTTTTCAACCTCTTAGTCATTTGGTCAGCTTTTGATTTTATCTGATATATCATCCAATTAGTTTAACAACGTACATCAAGGAATGTTACTATATAAATAATGACCTTTAACAAGTTGTTTGGTCATCTTTGGTGTAATTAATGCGTTTTGGGTTGAATGCACATTTTCATAAAAAATAATTCTGACCGATTTTTTTATTTTTTCCAAAAATTATTACAACAGAAAAAATAGTGTATCATATAATTATTGACTTCTGCTATTAAATATCTGATATAATGAAACGTAAATTATGAAATTTTCAAGCATGGCAACATTTAATTTATTTAACACCCACCCAAACTACATGTTAAAATCTTTAAAAATAATATAGACTTTCAATCAACTAATAATAATCTATATACATGTATATTTTGGCAGTTATTGCATCCATTTATCAATTTTATGAAAAAGGCGTGGCTATGAATATATTTTATTTTTCACCTGTATTATAATTTTGAAGAATATTTTTTCAACTTTATCAAATATATTAAATTGAATATCTGCAGTAAAGTACAATAAAATTTGTCTTTGAAAATCATAAAGAATCCACAACAGGACACTGCAAGTCACATCTACAAGCACTTTGATATCCTCATTACAGAGGAAAACATTTTATGGGGGAAACTTTTTTTTGTATAATATCAATCTTAAAGCTTTCTTCGGACTTAACTTGTTTCCTGTAATGACGAAGATGACAAAGTGAGCGGGTGACAAGGAGCCTCAGTTGCTATGACAACTGTGTCTAGACTTACTGACCAATAGTGACCATTGTAATGGTAATAAATCACAATAATGTGTCTACATTGGTCAGCAACACAAGCATTTCCTTATACAGTCTCAATATTTTATCTTTGTCGGGGACAATTATATATCCACCTCTGACTGGGTCACAGCAACTTAACAAATACTGCATGTAACTCTTCTTTTTTGGAAGTTACAAAAGTCATGGTCAGTTACAAAAATAAACTTAAATGGTCAAAAAGACATCATCAATCTCTAAAAATGTTATGAAATATTGCATAAAATACTCATTTTATTACTAATTTAAGTAATAAAATGAGTATTTTATGCAATTTTTTTCATTTTGAATTATTTAAATAAATGCAACTCTTCACTTTGGAGGGAAAAAATAATGTTAATATGAATAATTTAATAAATGCAACTTCAATTTGGAGAGTAAATTATGAATGATTTTAAAAAATGAAACTCTTCAATTTGAAGTGGAAAATGTCATATGAATGACTTAAATATTAATGCAACTCTTTATTTAGGAGGGAAATACAAATTATTAAAGCAGTTTCATTTTTTCAGTGCCGCCAGAATGATATTGTAAGCTCTATATAAAACTCAATAATATACTTATTTTCACACTTAAAATTTGCACAGTACTTCCGCAAGATTTTATTTATAGCCAGAGCAGTTGATTAAAGTGACCAACTTTCACAACTACTCTAAGCTACATAGAATGGCAATTTCTTTAACCCAGGTCTGGGCTTTTTGTCAAGAGATAATTTAGCATAAAAGTGAAATATGTTACTGACAATTATGCAATGAAGGTAATGTTAGAAAAGTTGTTATATTCTTTTGGTGATCTGAGACGAAATCATTGAAAAATAGCTTAAAGTAAGCACTAATTATTATTCATATACTAAGTAATCAAATCACATGACCACCATAGAAATGAGTACTTCAAACTGTTACAATTATAGGTTGTCTACCACTAAAACTTTCACACGGATGATCTACTGTTGACACATTATACTCCATCTGCTGATCTGGTAGCTTAATATATAACAGTGGTGGCTTGCCTAACCTATCATTTTCATCTTATTTCACTATTCACTTGGTGGGTAATTGTGGTTTTCACTGGTACTAAACTTGAATTAGTCTGTTTCAGTTACAACATAAAGTGGCTGAATTAACATAATTTTCGAATGAAAGTAGGCAGGCCAGGTCAAACACCTCGCATATTCAATCTGTAGTAAGACTCCAGGGGTCACAAATCACCCACATCATTTGCATAATGATCTCTACTAGCTGTCATAACAACTGTTACTCAAAACACCATTATCTGACAGCATTAAAAGAAGATCTTGCAAAGCTTTTGACATACTGATCTAATGCTACCAGTGCAGACTAAAATAAGTCAGCAGATCTGTGCTGACTTATTTGAAAGATACATATAGACAAGTCCTTTTATGGCATTTAGCATTGCAATGGTTAACTATTTCTTATGACTACTTGCTCTTTCTAAACAAGTGTGACCTAGTATGACTTTATTGGCTTATAAGCCACCAAGATGTTTTAAAGCTATGTCTTTAATGATGAGTTTGCAGCATTATTTGTGGTGGAAGACTTCAGGTGCCACCCCATTCCCCAAGGGTATAAGCAGGCTGTGAAGAAAACCCAATATTCTGTTAGGATTGCTTCTGCATATTTAAGAATCAAAATACTCTGGCAGGATTGAACCCACATCAGTGACGGGCAAGTAATTTCAAATCAATGACTTAAATCAATATCAGGCCTTGACCTGGTTATAAAATTGTACTTCTATACATATATATATCAATAAGTGAAAAAAAAGCAAAAACAAAAAAACTCACCCCTTCACCTGGAGCAATTGACACTTTAAGCCAAAGCATCATTACACTCATCAAATGAAGTGTTTAATCAAATATTTTCACTATCTCTACTACAATTACATTAAGATATACATTCCGATACTATATGTTAAGAGAAACAACTAATTGTTGTTTCACCATAAACAAATGCTATAAACCCAGACCATAAAACGCAATTTTGATAGAAGCCAATTTGAAATAATAAAGTTTATAGCTTCAACCTTTTAACAGTTTAACAGGTTTTCGGCTACAAAAATCTGATGTTAAACACCGACCCTATCCACTCTGCATTATTAACCGACAATCTTCTTGAATACTTGATTGAAATGATAGATGAAAGGGGAATAATTTTCTGGGTCGGTAAGTTTCATTATCGGGGTATCTGTAGTGATGATAACAAGATACTGTGATTGGCAGATAGATCTAACTTGTCAGACTCCCACACTGAAGAGCTGGATGGTCCCTCTGATCTGTGGAAGATTTACAAGAAGGTCTATGATTACTTTGGCTATCACCCTTGATATTCATACAATTCAGATATTCCTGTAACAGATTGTGCATAAATTATTTGGGGACCTTTCATGCACACAGAAACCCCGTAAGATACTAGAGTATTAAAAAGATCCAGGATTGATCAAGTTGACATTCTCAGTGGCTATGGCATTTGAGCTTCAGTCTCAGGTCACTTTGGCATCAATACATTTTCCCTGGCTAAAAATGGCCTTAATAAACCAACGAGGGAGTTACCTGACTGACACTCCAGAAAAAGGAAGTCATTGCGTACATTATTAACCCTTAATTAGTCAGGAGACGGCAACTGTTACTACGAATGCAACCAGTGCAGACTTTCAATTGTGACAAAACCATTCATGACTTTTAGGAAAAGTTTCATAAGATGTACTAACTGAATAGTGAACAGTACAGACCATGATTAGACAACAAGGACTGAGATTGATCTTGGTCTGCACTGTTTGCATGGGTAGAATTAGTTGCCTCTACAGTCAAGTAACCAGTTCCGGCACAGGACCAGTTCCGGTTTCTTCATTGCCTTTGTCATTGAAATATTTCTGACATTTTACTTTTTCGTTGATAATATAATGCAATGAGTGTCTAACCAATTGTTGGGCAGCTCACATTTTCTTATGAATTGCCGGTTTTCTAGAAAAATGACATTGAATGAGTCGGAACAATTCCTGAGCCGAAACTGGACCAATGATAGTACTATTAACGCTTAGGTTTAGAAATCAACTTTGTCTTTAAACTACATCAAGGATCACTTTAGAAAAGGCACCTGAATTATATGTAATGTACTGGTACAAGTCCCTATTTGGTACAGAAAATAGTGCATTGAAATTGTTCACCATCTACAACAAATATATCAAAAGAAAAGAAATTACAAAACATTTCAAGGATGCTTACAACAATATCTATCTAAAGTATTTCAAACATTTTTTAGACTGTACCCAGCCTAAAGCATTATGGGAAGTGGATATGTACAGATGGTTTCATAATGACAATATGACCTATGTTGTCACCTATCATCATCAATTATGGTGGCAATATTT